CCTCATCTGATTGAAATCGCCCCGCCAAACATTACGCCTTTTGTGGCCTGGAGTGTGTGAAATGGAGAATAACGAATAATCCCACATAAGCACTACGTGATCACTTCGGCCAAGGGGCGGCATGGAGGCGATCTCGTCTATGCTGTCTGGTGTTTTCGTAAAGACCAGATCCACGCAGTTTGCCCTTTGTCCTTCACGCGTTCTTGTTGGGAACATTACATGTTGTGTGAGGCACGCATTTAATGTCTTGCTCAGGCGGTAATCGAATGCCGATTTTGGACCTGACGCTTGGAGGGTATTCCGGTTTGTTCCTGGTGCGTTGAAGTCGCCCATGATCATGATGTTAGGTCGACTGGAAAATTTCTCCAACTGCTCCAATAGTTGAGTGTCGGCGATTCGGTCTGTCCGAGGTGGTCGGTAGACAGTGAGGACATCGAGACACGGGGAACCGGTAGCCTTGATGGTCAACCAGATAGCTTCCGTACTGCACACAAACTTGGTGGTGTTATCCGACACTGCCAGACCGTCATTCACATACACAACGATACCACCACCCTGACGATGTTCCCTGTCCCTCCGATAAATTTGGTATCCAGGCAAGGCTACTTCGTTATCGCTAATATTCCCGGACAGCCAGGTCTCAGTTACTGCTAAAACATCTGGAGACAGCCCAACAAGGCAAAGTTTTAGTTCGTCTAGTTTCGATAGGAGGCTTTGGGCATTCGTGTACAAGCACCTCAGTTTAGCACCAGCCGAATTTCCCGTTGCATTTGTTACTGCTGTGAGCATTACTCCGTTATCGCGACGTCGTGTTCTCTGGGCTCTTCCGTTACCTGATTGGTTCCATTGACATGCCTTGTTTCAGTCAGATCACTGGACGCTACGGGCTCACTTGTGTTGGCGCCTTGATCAGGTGGTTCAACGAAGGTGTCTGTTTTAGCTGAGTAGCTGTCGTCGTTCGTAGTATTACAGGCTGGTTCCACTGAAACGGCATATATTTCCTAACTACCTTCCCCTTGAAGATAGCCAGATTGTGTTCGCCATCCTTCAGTCTTGATTTTAACTCCAAGACAAGTTCCCGGCGTTTCAACCGTTCAGCTGGTGAATAGTCCGGTTGAAAAAAAACCTGTTTGTGTGTGTTTCTGAGATCGGTTTTTTAGAGAGGATAAACTTGATTTGCTCTTTGTTCTCCAGCATAATTTTGAGAGGGCGACGTGGTTGTGCTACTGTCCTGTCTTCACTCCTTTTTCCTATCCGGAATGCTTTCAGAACCTTTATTTCCATGTCTGCCGGCAGTAAATGATTTAGCAGACCATGAAAGGAAGCAAGGTCCTCTGAGACACGGTCTTCGGGTGTGACTGCATTCGATTCTGACAAACCCTGAATAACCAGACACTGCTGGCGAGCATGGTCCTCCTTACTCTGTCTTTCCGGTGAATGCGCTGCATGTGGGCGAGGACGATTTACGGAGTCATCGCTTGGACACACACTTTTACTGTCTACCGACTGTCCCGAGCAACCCATAAGGGCTGGCTGGGACTTTAGAATCCTGTCATGGCGTTTCCCTCTCCCCTCTACCCACTGGTTTATGTCTTCACATTCAGATACGTGCTCTGTAGTGCGCTCGGGGTGGTTGCCAGAACAAGAGGGCATGAGTAGACTGGATGACCCAGGTATATCGTCTCCAGGCAGAACAGAAATCCCATCACTTACAGCAAGAGGCTTAGGTGACATGGATTCCGCGATAGGTAATTTTTTTGCGACAT